ATTATATATTATGATTTTATAAAACAGTTTTATTTTTTAAAGTTTGGTTACAAATAAGACAAAAATATTATTATTTATGTTGTTTGTAATGTTTATATTATATAGTTATATATATCTTTATGTCACACCTAACACATAGCCATCATAATATTATATGGCACAACACTGTATGAACAATGACTATTATCGTAATAGGGTATTAAAAAAAAAAAAACACGGATGTAAAAAAAAGTTTTTATTTATCTGAAAAACAAAATTAATTCAATACTATTATAATTAATATATGATTTATATTCTCCAATTGACAATTTACAGTGTTTCTTCCTTGGCCGACAAAAAATTGTCCATGACCTTATTTAGGTCTTCATCCAACATCTACAATTAATATAATTTGTTGAATTAGTATATTTTCATTTTAAAAACAGTAAAAAATAAGTATGGCATTTAAAGGAATTATCAAATTGACAACTTACAATAATCTTTCCGTAGCTGGAAACAGGGGGGGGGTCATTAATGTCCTACAATTATTCATATAGAATTAGGATTTAATTAAGACTAATTAAGATTATTAAACTTACAAACGTTGTCTCATCGAGGTGAGTGGTGGCCACTGAAGCCACGGTGGCGTCTCGTACAACTGGTGCCGATTGCCACGGCGTTTGCAAACTGCCGGTGGTCTCCAGCAACCGACACCGTTCGGAACGACTGCGGTGGTGGGCACGGGTCCGTGACGACGGACTCCGCGGTGGCCGAATAATTAACGGCGACCGATGTCGCGGTACACGACCCCTCGGCGCACGATTCCTGGTAGGCGTAGAGAGGGGGGCTAGAAATATACCTAGTAAGAATAAACATGATTAATTAAATTTTAATTTTAATATACACATTCGCCGCGACAATCTCCGACCAAATGGCCATCTATGTGGTAACGATAGCATTCTGAAACAATAGGTAGACGTTAGAAAATGTTATTTATTAATTTATTATTATTATTATTACTTACTACGTTTTTTGGCCACTGCCCCAGTGATCGCGACAGGGAGTGCCGCATCCACCGATCGACCGAAGTGCAATGTGTGCAGAGACGCCACATTTACTGTGTAATTCTGTACCGTTACACTTCGACCATTCATAACTCCACCACCAATGGTGATGACCTTTTCCATTCTAAAATTTAAAAAAAACGAAATCTTTAGAAGTATAAAATATGTCATACTACAATGCGCGTGTCCATATAGAGAAAAGAAACAATGCCCTAACATCCTTTYAAAATAATTTATCAATACCGTGCACCCGGCGGCGTATTACCTAACCCTAAGCCCCAGCGCCGTATTTTATTCCAGCGCTACCATTGGTCCGTTTGAATTTTGCGCCATAATCATATTATCAATATTAAATTAATATCAATTTATAATGACAATATTGGGTGCGTTCCGGCTGGACGCTTTCGCGCTCACAGTGCTCACAATAGCGCTCATGATTATGAACCGTTCCACTAGAAAATAAGCGCATAGAATCGCTTTGCTTACGTTCCAAGTGGAACGATGTTGAACCTGCCATGAACGCTTAGACCGTGTTATCATTTTATCAAAAATGAAATTGATAACATAATCCACAAATCTA